TTTTCTGGGCTTACCCGGCTTGGGGATCGGGACGACGACTGCCGAACGCCATTCGGAAGGGATGTTGGCGTCTCGCCACGCTCGATTGAACAATTCTAGCAGCGCTGGGTAGCTCGCTTTGTCGAGGTTTCTCAGCGCTGCAGCGGTGACGCCGTCTGCTCCGGGGGCCGACTTTTTACGTGGGAGCGATGCCAGGGCGCGTTCCAACTCGTGTAGCTGGAAGTCTCCGAGCCCCTCTGTCATCTGGGGCTTCGCGTGCCACTTCCAGTCTCGCCATCCGGGCGGTGCATCTCGGGCGGCAGGCGCGGGTGGGGGGGGAGAGCAGTGCGTCCGCTAGAAGTTCTCGGACGTCTGCATCGGAAATGTTAAGCGCGAGTGCCATACCTGCAATAGGATCTCGCGGTCCCGGTCGGTTGCAGAGGGTCTTGGCCATTTTCCACGCCTTGGTGGCCCCGCGGGGGCCGTCGAAGGACTCACACTTCTGCTTCCACTGCTCCCTGGCGAGCCTCTTACCGTGTCGCTTGAAGAGTGCATCCTGGCGTCGGTAGCGGAGTGTGTCCTCGTGACGGCCCGTCCGCAGGGCCACCCTCTGTGCCTGGCGTCTTTGTGCTCGGAGTTGGAGCCAGCGAAAGTCAGGATTAGGACGCTCAACGGGGATACTCACTGACGTGGTGGCCTCTTTGAGTGCGGCGCCGATGGCCTGGCTGTCAAGGGGCCAGCCCATCGCCTCGTACTGGCGGAGGAAGGCACGATACCTGTCCCAGTGGACCACCTTGCACGTTCGATTGGGTGGCCGTGGGGCAGGTCCCGATGTTATGGGAACGTGGTCGCTCCCCCAGCTGTCTTGCTCGAGCACCGTGGTCAGTGGGAATCGCGCCGAGCAGAACGTTAAATCGAGTACGCTCCGCTCGACGCCTCGTCCGATGAATGTGGGCTGCCCTGTTCCGCTGTACTCCAAGTCGGTTTGGGCGAGGGCCTCCTGCAAACGCTTGCCGCGCGCGGTCGTTTTCCTGTCCCCCCACAGCTCGTTGTGCGAGTTAAAGTCTCCGCCGAGAATGATTATGCCCTGCTCTCGCGCGTGAATTTGTTTTACAACCTCTCCACCCCACGCCGCGTTGGGGTGAACGTAGCAAGAAAAGATAGAAAATGTCTGGTTATTTTTCTTTACCCGAATACCTACAAGTTCCGAAGTGTCCGAGCAGTAATCGGCGCTCTCGATCCGGCAGTGGGTCGCGTCTTTGTGGACGAGCACGGCCGCCCAGGGTTGTTTTTCCCGGCCGGGGCAGCAGTAGGTGGTGTAGCTGGGAATGGTTAGTTTGCTCACGTCCATTTTTGGCTCCTGCAGCAGCACCACCTCGTACGGCCTTGCCAAGAGCTCTGCCCTCAGGTGGGTGAGGCGGTTGCAGAGCCCGTTCGCGTTCCACTGGAGGATCGAGGGACAACCTTTTACAGCATTAGGCTTACTTGTTTTCCTAGTGCTTGTAGGCATTCTCAGTTCCTTGCCGCGAACGTTGCATCCCCGCGGTGATGCTGTGTAGTAAGGTCCCCTCCGGGATCATGGCTGTAGCCTGCCGATTCTTGAGGAAAAGCGGGATTAGTGTTTGGAGCAGATCCTCCAGGTTGTAGATCATGTCCCGCATTTCCTGCGCGGTGGGGGGCGTGTCCGTCTCGTCCCGCCGAGGGGAATCCCCGGCGCTGTCTCCTGGGGAGGCTGCGGGGAAGGGGGGTGAGGGGGGCACCTGTTCTTGCTGGGGGAGAGGCCTTTCCCTCTCGCCACCGGGACGGTCGTCCGCGCGGGGAGAGGAGGACCCTCGCAGGTGCCGTGCGTCAGCTGGGCGCCGGTCATTGACCCCTCGCCCCTGCTGTTGGCTGTCTGGACGGTAGGACCTGCGATAGACCTCCTCCCGCCGCTGCGGCTTACCGACTTCGGGGATTTTGGCGCTGGGTTCCGTGTTAGTGGAGGCCTCTCTTGTCTTTACCTGTGGGGGCTGTGGGACGACTGGGGGGATTAGTTCGCGAGTCCTACTCACCGCGTTTGGCCGACTGCGCGCTTCCAGCGTTGGGAAAGTGTCTCCCCAGACTGAGCTCGCTGGGAGCACGCTGGTCTGCCACGCGGGAGTCTGGCTGGCTCCGCTGTGCATCCAGGGGGGCGGGGTGGCGGTCTGCTCCTGCGCGCGCTGCGTGCTGCGCTCGCTTGCCTTTTTCTTGTGGAGTTCGGCGGCGACACGTTTGGCCTCCTTCCAGCTGCAGCCGGTGTCGCGGACCGCCTCGGCCTCGCGCTTGTGTTGTTGGTACACGCTGCATCCCTTGTCGAATGCAGCGTGTCTGCACTTGCAGTTGGGGCAAATGGGGGTGAGTTTTGTCGCGCACTTACCCCGAGGGTGCCTGCCCCTGCATGTAGGGCAGGCAGTGGGCAGCGTGCACGCGGACTGCACGTGGCCGAAGCGTCCGCATCCCCAGCACTGCGTTGGCCGGACGTGTCGTGCCTCCACGACAAACTCGATGTCATAGATCAGGACCGTGGCTGGTAGGGGTCCGCCGAAGAAGAGCTCCGCGTACCGCCCTCCGCTGAACCGTCTGATGTGGTCCACGGGCACCTCGCTTTCGAGGCCTCGGGTCAGCTGTTCTGTTGCGTCATTGGGGCAAAGTCCGCGGATTACGCCGATACTCACCGCTCTGGCCGGCGCGAGGGTGGCATGGAGAGGGAGGCTCGCCAGCTTGTCGGTGCCTAGGAGGCGGTGGGTCATTGCCGCGCTCGTTGTTTCGACCGCCATCACGTTTCGCCTGAGATTGAAACGTGTGGCGGCCGCCTTGCCGCCCGTGACCTGTCGAAGGCCCTGTGCCAAGGAGACTCTGTTCTCGAGGGTTAGCTTACCTGTTCCCGTTGGGCGGAGCAGGACTGTGGACCCCTTTGCGGGGAGTTCGTCTAAGGAGGGAATTGGTTGGTTACCCTTGCCTTTGTTTGTCTTACGTGAGGCCCCGGATGTTGGGGGGCTTGTCACTGTGGGGGGGGGTTGTCGCTCGGGGAGGGGTTGCTGCACCGTCCTTCCTTTTTTGGTGCAGTTCCTCGATGAGGGTGTTGCAGTCCTTGCTGCCTGCTTCCAGAAGTGCTGCAAACTGGTTGGAGGTGTTTACAGTCACATGGAGTTGGTCGTCATCCTCCTCGGAGGTGTTGTCAGGTGTGGAGTCACTGGGGCTCGATGTTGTGTCCCCGCTTGCTTCGGAGGGGCTGTCGCTGTTCTCGCAGTCGTGGAACAGGTCCACGACTTCGTCCGGGAGCCGATCTGCATTTGGGTGTACTAAACCGGCACTTTTTAGTACACCTAGGATGGCGTCCGGTCGGGGGACGCCATCCTTCGGGGGCTCGTCGCGCTCCACGTGGGCGCCGTCCTCGTGGCTTTCGGGTGCCACGCGGAGGCTAGCCTCCGCGCGGGATCCGGTCCCCACGAGGTTTTCCGCGTTGTCCACGTGGCTCGCGCCGGCTGGCAGTAACGAATGGTTACCGTCTGTGTTTGGTTTGGGCTTCATGGCCCTGCTCCGCAGAAGGTACCCCGAGGGGTCCTCTGTCTCCTTTGAGTGGTCCGTGGTCAGTTGGTCCGGGGGCATGCCTGCGTCGGTGCCCTCCCGAGGGAGGGCGGGGGGGAAACTACAAACTGTTTAAATAAAGGTCCCTCCGCCTCTTTAAGGCAGAAGGATCTTTAACACTAACTAGCTCTACTCTATCTTAATTCTTCTTCACATTACGAAGTTAGGGTTAAAGCTAAGACTAAATTCAAAATGGCGCTTAAATTGGAGCTAACAAATCACACGTCTACTTTATTTGCCAACTCTTGAACCACCTCACCTCCTCCCTCACCTCACCTGAAATTTTCGTTTTCTTTGCTCTTTTTATAGGTTTTCACAGCATTCTGAAAAATGTGCTCCGATTGGCCAGCATTCTAGAGCGCGGGAAACAGTGCGCTGTGATTGGAGTACGCCCAAAATAAAGCTTCGCGATTGGTTGCTGCGCGAACCAATGAGCAAGCAGTTGAAACTACAATTTTTTGGGAGAGGGTGTTGGGAGAGGAGTGCTATGAAGCAGAGGCAGTGCAAGGCGAAAACGCGCTCTTGCAGCGCCCCCCAAGCGGAGAGGACTGGCACTTCCTTTGATTTTCTGCTTCTCGATGCACTGACTCCCTCACTCACTCAGTGTTCGTTGGTTTGTTCGGTTGTCCACTTCTCACCTCCACCAAGATGTCTGGGCGCGGAAAAGGAGGCAAGGCAAAGGGCAAGAGCAAGACCCGTTCCAGCCGCGCGGGGCTCCAGTTTCCCGTGGGAAGGATCCACCGACTACTGCGAAAGGGCAACTACGCGGAGCGAGTAGGTGCCGGTGCCCCCGTCTACTTGGCGGCCGTACTCGAGTACCTGGCTGCCGAAGTGCTCGAGCTGGCAGGAAACGCGGCCAGGGACAACAAGAAAACTAGGATCATCCCTCGACACCTGCAGCTGGCCATTCGCAACGACGAAGAGCTCAACAAGCTGCTGTCCGGCGTTACCATCGCGCAAGGAGGTGTCCTGCCCAACATCCAGGCCGTCCTCCTTCCCAAGAAGACCGAGAAGAAGGCCTAAACCATCCTGCGGCATCCGCTACAGAAAAACGGTCCTTTTCAGGACCACTCACGACTTGAGTACAGGATACTCATTTCCGTGCGCTAGTCTTCCGTGTCTCTAAACGCTCGGGTATGTGCATTTCAATTTCCTTTTTGTGCAATGCCGACAGTGTTTCTCTTTCATCACCTACAGGCCTTGAATGCCACTCTTAGGCATTCTCCCATGCATAATATTTACGCTGCGTTTAATGCCAAATTCTTTCACGTGTGCGAATTGCCCGAACAAGACTTGCTGTCGGGCGCAAAGGCCAGCATTGCTTGTTATTTGAACTCGTAAAACCACCGCTGCACTGCCTCGCTTTGAGAGGATTTGAAGCTGTTTCTACGAGAGTCAACAATCGGAGCAGCATTTCCCCGAAACCGGCAGAGGGCAATAAATGTTGTGGACATCCCTCAAAAACAGATAATTACTCCACGGGTTTTTGTTGGTCGAATCTATAATCGTGATATTCGCTGATTGCTAGAAAATGAACCCTGTAATGTCTCGGGAAAGGTTTTTTTCTTCTTTATTTATTTCATTCAACAACACTTTAGAAAACAAGGAACACATGAAGGAATCGTTGGAAGCAACTGCGAACGGAGCACTTGGCACAATGCAAACTAGTTCAAAATGGGAGAATAAATAGAAAGTACTCACAGCTTTTGAACTCCTGCACTTGGAACAAGTCAGCATCGGAGATTGAGACACGGGAGGACGTCGCTTTACACATGTCCGAAAAGCATGTCTGATGTGGCCCTGAAGAGGGCCGTTTTTGTGGCGTTGCCTGCCGCTTCCAAAGAAGCGACATTAAGCGCGTTCACCGCGGATGCGACGAGCCAGCTGGATGTCCTTAGGCATGATGGTTACCCGCTTGGCGTGGATGGCACAGAGGTTGGTGTCTTCGAAGAGACCGACCAAGTAGGCCTCGCTGGCCTCCTGCAGGGCCATTACAGCCGAGCTCTGGAAGCGGAGGTCCGTCTTGAAATCTTGCGCGATCTCCCGCACTAGCCTCTGGAAGGGCAGCTTGCGGATGAGCAGCTCAGTCGACTTCTGGTAACGACGAATCTCACGCAGCGCGACCGTGCCCGGCCTGTAGCGATGCGGCTTCTTGACTCCACCGGTTGCAGGAGCACTCTTCCGGGCGGCCTTCGTAGCCAGCTGCTTGCGCGGTGCTTTTCCTCCCGTGCTCTTGCGGGCGGTCTGCTTCGTACGGGCCATTCCGAAACGTTGGGACAATAAAACGAGAGAGCTAGCAAACAGCAACACACCTCGACTCCTGACGACCAACTGCCTCAGCGCGAGTGGTGAAACTTCCTTCCCGACAAGGCCTCTCGGCCAATCAGAGAGCTTGTTCATTCTGGATGCTGTTTTGGGCAAGTTTCTTGCGAGGGACAGCGCACGTGGCTCGCTAGGACAATATTTCACGATTGAAGTGATCTAAACTTGTGGGGATAATGTGGAACCAACGTTAGAGCACAGAATCGAGCAAAAATTAGACTCCCAACCTTGTTATTTTAGAAACGGCACGGTTATAAACATTCGTTACCTTCTCCAGTGGGCCGCGCTCGCCTCTCGTCCAATCAGCGCGCTTGTTCATTCTTGGATGCTGTTTTGGGCGACTTTCTTGTGAGGGCCTATGCGCTTGGCTCCGTAAAATAATTTTTCTCGATCGAAGTAACTCAGACTTGTGAGGATAATGTGGAACCTATATTAGAGCACAGAATCGAGCAAAAATTAGACTCCAAACTTTGTTATTTTAGAAACGGCATGGTTACAAACATTCGTCACCTTCGAAGGGCTTCTCCCGGAGGTTCGCGCTCGCCTCTCTCGGCCAATGAGCGCTTGTTCTAGACGGTTTTTTTTCAGTCTCTCTCTGCTTACGATTAGAGTGGGTCATGTCCGAAGAAGTGTCCGCTCCTGCTGGGGTCGCGGCCCCCGCTGCCCTCAAGAGCCCCAAAAAGGCTTCCACGAAAGTGTCCAAGGGAAAGGCAAAGGCCGTGCCAACGCATCCCAAGGTGTCCGCAATGGTGACAGCATCCATCAGTGCGCTTAAGGAACGTGGTGGTTCATCTCTACAAGCCATCAAGAAATACATGTCTGCCAACTACAAGGTGGACGTCGAGAAGCTGTCTCCTTTCATCCGCAAGTATCTCAAGTCTGCCGTGGCTGCGGGAGCATTGGTGCAGACCAAGGGCAAGGGAGCTACCGGATCGTTCAAGCTGTCAGCCAAGTCCGACAAGCCCTCACCTGCTGCTAGGAAGCCCAAAAAGGAGGCTGGTGCTGCAAAGAAGCGCCCAGCCTCGGCAACTGCCGGTGCGGCCAGGAAGAAGAAGCCCGGGACTGCCAAGAAGTCGCCCGCAAAGAGGGCCAAGTCGGCCAAGCCCAAGTCGGCCAAGCCGAAAAAGCCAAAGGCAGAGAAGAAGGCTGCAGCACCCAAGAGCCCCAAGAAACCCAAGGCAGCAAAAAAGACCCCTGCCAAGAAGCCGGCTGCAAAGAAGGCTTCCTCCAAGAAATAGGTCTTCTCCTGGATATCCAGAGCGAAAAACAAAACGGCCCTCATCAGGGCCATAATTCGTTTGCATATCAGGGGATATGCACTTGCGTGGCATGCAGCTCCCGTGTCTCTCGCCACCTCTCTGTTCCAGCCTCGGTAAGCTGATTCCTGCTCTTTTTTAATGTGCACGAGGCATACTTGGTGTTATATTATTGTTTGTTCCCCTGTTAGCAGCATTTTATCTTTGTGTGTGGTACTCGTGAAGTCGTGGAGGCCCGCTTCACGCTCGAGCCGCGATTCGATCGCCTAAGATCAGGCGAAAATAAAAAAAACTACTCGCTTTAGAACAGTCTTTTTTTCTGTCCTCTTAGCGCACACCTTTTTTTTCGCGGCACACGAAATTAAGAATCTGTATCTACGTTTATTATTACCTCTTTTAAACTTAAATCGACCAGCCGCCCTGACCGCTTGAAAACTAGTTTTGGCTTCCAAGTAAGAGGTTAGATCGAAATATGAAGAAAAATAACTCCGTTTAAATTCAAATAATTTTTACACCTATTAGAGAAGTTCATTAGCTTTCGGAAAATATATACTTCGCTATGCGTAAAAATATTTTTCGTTGCGTTAGAGAGTGAAACAGGTCAAGCTGTAGAGTCCGGCGCGCGCTCGAGCCGCGATTCGATCGTCCAAGATCAGGCAAAAATTAAAGATAAAAAGAACTACTCGCTTCAGAAGAGTCTCTTTTTCTGTGCTCTTAGCGCACACGTTTTTTTAGCGGCACACAAAATTAAGAATCTGCATCTGCGTTTATTATTACCTGTTTTAAACTTAGATCGACCATCCACCCAGAGCGCCCGAAAACTTGTTTTGCCTTCCAAGTAAGTGGTTAGATCGAAATATGAAGAAAAATAACTCCGTTTAAATTCAAATAATTTTTACACCTATTAGAGAAGTTCATTAGCTTTCGGAAAATATATACTTCGCTATGCGTAAAAATATTTTTCGTTGCGTTAGAGAGTGAAACAGGTCAAGCTGTAGAGTCCGGCGCGCGCTCGAGCCGCGATTCGATCGTCCAAGATCAGGCAAAAATTAAAGATAAAAAGAACTACTCGCTTCAGAAGAGTCTCTTTTTCTGTGCTCTTAGCGCACACGTTTTTTGAGCGGCACACAAAATTAAGAATCTGCATCTGCGTTTATTATTACCTTTGTTAAACTTAAATCGACCATCCACCCAGAGCGCCCGAAAACTTGTTTTGCCTTCCAAGTAAGTGGTTAGATCGAAATATGAAAAAGAATAACTCCGTTTAAATTCAAATAATTTTTACACCTATTAGAGAAGTTCATTAGCTTTCGGAAAATATATACTTCGCTATGCGTAAAAATATTTTTCGTTGCGTTAGAGAGTGAAACAGGTCAAGCTGTAGAGTCCGGCGCGCGCTCGAGCCGCGATTCGATCGTCCAAGATCAGGCAAAAATTAAAGATAAAAAGAACTACTCGCTTCAGAAGAGTCTCTTTTTCTGTGCTCTTAGCGCACACGTTTTTTTAGCGGCACACAAAATTAAGAATCTGCATCTGCGTTTATTATTACCTTTGTTAAACTTAAATCGACCATCCACCCAGAGCGCCCGAAAACTTGTTTTGCCTTCCAAGTAAGTGGTTAGATCGAAATATGAAGAAGAATAACTCCGTTTAAATTCAAATAATTTTTACACCTATTAGAGAAGTTCATTAGCTTTCGGAAAATATATACTTCGCTATGCGTAAAAATATTTTTCGTTGCGTTAGAGAGTGAAACAGGTCAAGCTGTATAGAGTCCGGCGCGCGCTCGAGCCGCGATTCGATCGTCCAAGATCAGGCAAAAATGAAATATAAAAAGAACTACTCACTTCAGAAGAGTCTCTTTTTCTGTGCTCTTAGCGCACACGTTTTTTTAGCGGCACACAAAATTAAGAATCTGCATCTGCGTTTATTATTACCTGTTTTAAACTTAGATCGACCATCCACCCAGAGCGCCCGAAAACTTGTTTTGCCTTCCAAGTAAGTGGTTAGATCGAAATATGAAGAAGAATAACTCCGTTTAAATTCAAATAATTTTTACACCTATTAGAGAAGTTCATTAGCTTTCGGAAAATATATACTTCGCTATGCGTAAAAATATTTTTCGTTGCGTTAGAGAGTGAAACAGGTCAAGCTGTAGAGTCCGGCGCGCGCTCGAGCCGCGATTCGATCGTCCAAGATCAGGCAAAAATTAAATATAAAAAGAACTACTCGCTTCAGAAGAGTCTCTTTTTCTGTGCTCTTAGCGCACACGTTTTTTTAGCGGCACACAAAATTAAGAATCTGCATCTGCGTTTATTAGTACCTTTTTAAACTCAAATCTACCATCCACCCAGAGCGCCCGAAAACTTGTTTTGCCTTCCAAGTAAGTGGTTAGATCAAAATATGAAGAAGAATAACTCCGTTTAAATTCAAATAATTTTTACACCTATTAGAGAAGTTCATTAGCTTTCAGAAAATATAAGAACTGGTACAAAAGGACACAACCCTCCAAGAGAGCAGAAAAAAAAAGAAAAATGCCATCAGCACTCCGTGTTCCCAGGTGGTCACCCTCCCAAGTACTGACGGAGCCCGATGCTGCTTAGCTTCGGTGATCGGACGAGAACCGGCGTATTCAGCATGGTATGGCCGATGGCAGGTACTAGGGCAACGAATGTTCGACTGCTGCCTGAGAAGATTGGTACACTCGGCTGTAGCGCACAAAATGGTAGAGACCCGCGGCAAAACAACACTCATGACAAACGAGGAATCACTCACCCAAAGCAGTGCTTGTTTTCAGGATTACAGAGACACGGGAGGGAGGCGTTGGAATGAAAACCCGTTTCCAAGATAGATCGGTACTGGTTTGGCCCTGAAAAGGGCCGTTTTCGATGTGTGTCCGACGGCGAGACGGCTGTTAACCACCGAAACCATAGAGGGTACGGCCTTGCCTCTTGAGCGCGTACACCACATCCATGGCCGTCACGGTCTTCCTCTTGGCGTGCTCGGTGTAGGTGACGGCATCGCGAATGACGTTCTCCAGGAAGACCTTGAGGACGCCGCGGGTCTCTTCATAGATGAGGCCGGAAATGCGCTTGACACCACCGCGGCGGGCTAGGCGACGGATTGCAGGCTTGGTGATCCCCTGGATGTTATCGCGAAGAACCTTGCGATGGCGCTTGGCACCACCCTTGCCCAGGCCCTTGCCGCCCTTGCCTCTTCCAGACATGTTTGCTGCAAAAACAGGGACGGAAAACACGACCGCACCGTTCGCCTACTTCAACAAAGACTGGCGGCAATGCTCTACGGGTCCGACCAAGTGAACCCACGACGGCCTCCTCCTCTCCCGCCGACGAATGGGAGCAGTCCTGCAGCTTCGTATTGTGGCCGACAGGTGGCTGCGCACTGGAAGCAAGCGTGTGTTGATGAAATGCATGGCTTTAGCAAAGGCATTCATACACCTCGCCCATTTTGAGTCTTCATAGTTGTATGTGCAAAACATTGTTTTTTCTAGGTTCCAGGAGATATATATTTTAGCGGGATTAAGATTCGTTTTCGCTAAGTCAATGGGAGAAACATGTCAACTCAGGAGTGCCGAGCTTCGCACCGATGCAGCTAGTCAAGGGCCCGTTTTCACATGCGAATAAGAAAGAGTTTTATAAACGTTCGAGCAATCTATTCATCGGAACTTGTACAAGACACACTCTTCTCACGGCACACAAAAATTAAAGTTTCTTATCACTGGCGTTTTTAAGCGCGCA